TGGTAGCGTGCACCCAGGCGATCGCGGCCCAGGCCCAGCTGCAGGGGCGCGGGCAGCGCGCGCGGGCGCTCAGTGGCGCCCCCCGGGGGCTCGGGCACTTCGTCCTCTCTGCACTCCTCCTTGACTTTCACGTCGCCCTGGGCTGCCGTGCTGTAGGGCGACGGCGGGCGCACGGCCAGCTTGGCGCTGTCCTCCTTGGCAGGTGAGCGGCTCTCCTTGACCCGGGGCTCAGCCTGCTCTGCAGGGACCCCGGGCCGGCCCAGCTCACCCTGGCTGTGGAGCAGGAGGCTGCTGATGGGGTGGCTGGTGGGGGCGGCCGGCGAGGCCCGGCTCAGCAGGCGCGTCTTCTCCAGGAGGTCCCTGGGAGGACAAGACAGACGCCGTCACCCCACCAAGACTACTTTCCTACCAGGCAGCCCCTAGAAAGCTGTTTGCTAAGCTCCCATCTCAGCTCAGTCCATCACCCACTGGGACCCCAAGTTCCTCGGAGTGTGGAGGGGGCCCTTTAGCACCCTGGGTTCCCTCAGAATGCTACAAGCACTCTGTCAGCACTCTGATGACAATAGAAGCCCACGCACCACACAGGTCTCCAAGCACTGCATGCTTTCCCTCCTCTGTAAACCATCTGCAGCTAAACCACAAAGCTCTCTGCACACACTGAAGCTGCAGAAACCAACCCAGGACAAACCGGCTGGAGGGGCAGTGGTCTCACAGCAGAGGCAGGCTGCCACCCCTCACCTCGCAGGGAATTCCTTCATCAGTGTTTTCAGCCCTGTGTGGAGCCTGGGTGTCCAGCAAATCCTGTAGATGATGTGTCCCCACCCATCCCAGGCCCGCCCTGCACCTGTAGCCCCCTTTGACTTTGCCCTTGAGAAAAAGATCTCAGGACATGTAGCCACCCTTGGGCAGAAGTGGGAATTGGCCTGGAGCAGATGAAGCGTCTTGGCAAGGGTCCACTGCTAAGTCTTCATGGGGAGAGGATCCTGAAAACATTCATCAGGCAGAGTCCCCAGCCCCAACACGCATCTGCTGGACCTCTCCCTCTCTGCCCAGCCTTGGGTTGGCGTGAGCACTGCAGGGACCACCCTGAGGAGGGGCTGTGCTAGCAACTGGGCCTGAGCAGGTTGGGATGGAGGAGCTGGCTGTGGCCTCCCATAGGGCATGTTTGGGCCTTGAGGGTCCACAGTGGTGGTGACAGTGCTCCCATTCCCCCATTGCCAGACTCTCCAGGCTGCCCTGACCCCTCTGCACGTCCAGCGAGCTCAGGCTGTTCACAGCACAGGGCCAGGAGCTGCCTGTCCTGTGGCCTTTGCCCACACATCTGTGCTCCTCACCCTGTGCCCACTTGGGACCCCAAGTGGTTCCTGCTCTGGGCCCTTTCTCCTGACAACTGCAGGGCAGGTGGCTTGCTCAGGAGCCTTCCTGACCTGTTGAGCGTTGCCATGAGGACAGTGTCTACCCACCCTGCCATGTGCACCCTGAGGGACGCCAACAGTGCCTGGCACCCAGTGACACTCATGAGAGCCCATCTGTCGCTCCTGTGAAACACCCCAAATTCATGGAAGAGTGGAGAAAGAGGATGTGGGGTTCTGGCCTAGAGCAGCATGGCGAGTGTCCCTCCCACACAGTGTCATGGAGTCCCCAGGCTGGACCTGACCAGGGCCTGCATCCCCTGGGTGGGCTTGCGGGCGAAATTTGTGAAGGGTTTGCAGCTGCTAACTGCTGGGGGGAAAATAATGTGTGTTGTATTGTTTTTGTAGCTTCTAAATTTCCCAAATACAGACATACAAACCAATGTGAGCCCCAATGACTTGCCTGGTCCCCAGACTCCAACCACATCCTGGCCCTGGTCACTTGGGGCCCCCCATCAGCAAGGTGTGGGGTCTGACCCACCAATGCCCCCCAGACTCTGCATAAAGCTGGGCAGGAGTGGGGGAAAGGAGAGGGCGGGAGGAAAGACGGACTGGGTGGGAAGTGGGGGTGCTCCACTCACCGCTCCCGTTCCTCCCTGCCCTTGTCTGGCTCCCGGTCATGGTTGGTCAGGGCTGAGACCCGCTCGGCATCCACAGGCTTGGGCCATGGGGGCGGCGTGGGGAAGGAGGGTGGTGCCCGGTGTAGCCGGTTCCAGGCCTCGTGGGGGCTGGGCAGGCTGTGCATCGTGGAGCCCTCCTTGGGGGCAAAGATGCTGCCGCTGGGAGCTGGGGGCAGAGGCCGGCGAGTGTGAGGCCAGGACTCCCCACCGCCAGCTGTCTCCTGGCAGAACCACAGGGGCTGCTAGCAGGAGCCCCACAATTCATGGGATCCTGGGCAGTGCCCAGAGAGGCCAGCCCAGAGGGGGAGGGAGGGTCGGCCATGCATTAGTGTGCCCACAGGAGGATGTGGTATACGGGGGGGAGGCCGTGTGGCCAGGTCACTCACTCAGCGCGTGGCTGCCCAGGCCTCCGAAGGCGTGGCTGCCCAGGCTCCCCAGGCCCCCGAAGGTGCTTGATCTGCTGAAAGGGTCTGTGGGGGCAACCAGGGCTAAGGGGTCTGCATCTCTTGGGCTGGGGCTCCCACCTGAATTCCCTGGCCCAATGGGATGGCTCCAGAGGCTTCCAGCCTGGCAGGTGCCACCCATGCAGTCTGTAGGGTGCCCTGGAACTCGGGGTCCCCTTCCCACCCACCTATGTCCCCTGCCCCAAGGAAGTCAGACAGACTGCACAGACCTCAGGGGGCACCTACCTGTCAGGTGACCAGTGGGCAGGAAGCTGCCATGATGGGGTGAGGGTCCGAATGAGTTGGTGGTGGGATGGGCGGCACCTGGGTGTGGGGGAGCCGGGTTGACAGGGGCAGCACCTACCTGTCAGGTGACCAGTGGGCAGGAAGCTGCCATGATGGGGTGAGGGTCCGAATGGGTTGGTGGTGGGATGGGCAGCACCTGGGTGTGGGGGAGCCGGGTTGACAGGGGCATGGAGAGTGCACCTGGGGCTTTCTGTCTGTGGTGCTGTCCACGGGGTGGGGGGCCCTCAATTTCCTCTGGGAACCCCTAGCTCCCGTTCTCCCATCTTTGCCCAGTGTGTGGGGAAGGTGTGTACACTCAGACTACGGGGCGGAATTTACTTTCTTCACCAAAATCTGGAGGGGGTGATTTTGGGCTGCAGTGGCATCCATCCTGCAACCTCGAGCGGGGGCAGGAGGGGAGGTGCCAGTTGCAGTGGAACCCCCAGAGGAAAAAGCCAAGACTTGGGAAGAGACAGAAAAGTTCCAAGGAAGAGAGCCTTGATCAGGCTGCTCCTGAAACCATTACTTGGAGTCTTCAACTGTGACAGCTAATAAATGATCCCTGCAATGGAAGGCGGGGGTGGGTCTTGGGCACTGAATGGACACTGGCCAGTGTCTTAGGTGATGAGCACAGCAGTCCCCCAATCCCCTGTGGTGTCCCTGGGCACAAGGTCTAGCCCACAAGCATCACCTCGACCTCTGCTCCAACAACCAACATCCGAGACCCCCAGAACAAAGTGTGGGGAGCAGCTGCATGGGGCACTGGCCCTGAGAAGGGCTGTGGTGGACCCAGTGCTGTGACTGGGTTGGGGGCCCATCCTGCACACACGGTGTGCACATGCCCTCTATTCTGGATGGTGGGCTTTTGATCAAGACCAGAAGGGTGTCCAACTCTTAGTCACTCCAGCTCCCTCTCAGCCTTCACTTGGGGACCCCAACAGTGGGGCATTTGTGTCCCCCCACCATGGAGGGCAGGGCGCACACACCTCACTCATTCTGAACCAGAGAGAAGAGCCGGCTAAGCTCAGGAGATACAATTTGTCCAGGCATGTGTGGTGGGACTAGAGGGAAGCCCCGCCCTAAATGCACACACGCTGTGACAATGCTGTGACGACGGCTGAAGAGCTACTTTCCAAACTTCCTATTCACGTCACAAAAAGGACACCAAAGCAGCACAAAGAATGAGGAGAAACACACACTAGAGAGGGCAACAGAATGAAAAACTATTTCTCTTTAAATGCTGACAACAGACAAACCTCTGGCAAGATTAAGGAAGGAAAAAGAGATGGCAGAGCGAGGGACCTGCAGAATTTCAGCTGTGACAGAAGATCACAAATTAATGTTAATAAATACAGAAAGTTACACCAAACCAACTCATTACTACAAAAATTCAAGTTACCAAAATGGACTCGAGAAGAAACAGAAAACTTGAACAGTCCTACACTCAATTAAAAAAAAAAAATCTGTAGTTTAAAACACTTGGCCAGGCAGCTCAAAATTTGAGTCTGCCACGCCAAAGTAATGACAATGGAACCAAGATCTCTTGCAGAGAAGAGAAAAAAGGGAAAACTCCTTAATCCACTGGGGGAGGCAAACACAGCCATCAAGACAAACCCAGATAAAGAAGGTACAAAAAAGAATTACAGTCTCGATTCACTCAGGAAAACACATCTGGAACAAAATACTGGCAAATCAACTCCAGAAATATATTAACAGTTTGTACATCAAGATAAGTCATCCACATACCAGCCAGCCGCCAAAAAAAAAAAAAAAAGAAAAAAAAGATAAGCCACCCAGAGTTTGGAATTAAGAAACAAAACTACCATCATTTAAAGATACGACTTTCTACATAGAAAATGCAAAGGAATCTACAGATAAATTTCTTTGCATTCATAAGAATTTAGCAAGATTGCTAAGTACAAAATCAATAGATAATACACAGAACCTCAAAATCAACAAGCACTTCTATTTTCTAACAGCTCATTAAGAAATATAATTTTTAAAATGCTAATCATAATATTAGTAAAACATAAAGCATCTAGGAATAATGCTAAGACCTAAACAAATGGGAGCTATACTTTGTTCATGGATAGGAAAAGGATGACAGAAAGATACAAATTCCTTTCAAGTTGACATACACTTTCAATCTATTCCAGTAAACACCCCGAGTTTTTGTGGAACCTAACAGGCAGATTTAAAGATTACATGAAAGAGCAGGAAGAGAAACGGGCATCGTGAGGCTGGGGAAGGATGCAGCGTTGGCTCCGAGATAGTGATGAGAGGTGGTGGAGAGCCCCACTTCACCACAGAACACCTCAAAACGGGGGGTAGAGACCAGGGGGTGTCTGCGGAGAGGATGGGGGAGCCAAGCAGAGCCAAGCCCCATAATTAGCAGGTGTCCTAGGGGCTCAGGCCAGGCTGCTGACTGGAGGACCTCTGCTCTCTGAGGGACCTGGGCCACCGGGAGACCCCATGGCCAGAGGCCCTCTGGGCTGGGGACTGCCACCACATGTGTGGGCCAGCCCTGGGCATGTAGTCCACACCGTCACCCCACGGTGCTGCTGTGGCCTAGAGAACAGAAGACACACTGCACCCTGCCCTCACAGACTGCACATGTCCATGTGCTACGTGGTGCAACGGGTGGTGAGCAGACGGAAAAGACCAAGCAGGAGCAGAGAGCAGGGGGGCTGACCGGGGTTGGGGTCGGGAGCTCTGAGGAGGTGACGTGCCTTGGGACCTGGTGGCTGCAGAAGAGCATCAGGGGCGTCGCGGGGCTCAGGTTGGCTGTGGGGAAGAGTCTAGGGAGGAGGAGAAGCGGGGGAGCTGCTGGGGCTTTAGCGAGGGGGCTCGGCTGAATGGAAAAGGGGCAGAACCTGCCTGTCCTGTGGGGCTGCACGGGTCTTACCTGTGCTGGAGAAGAGGGGCCGGGCGAGATCCTGTGGGTAGTGGAATCCTGCAAACACACCTGGGGCGGGGGGTCTGCTGAACAGGTCCAGCTTTGCGCCCACCTCCAGCTTGTGGGGGTCCAGCTGCATCTGCAGGGAGGACAGAGTGTGTCCAGGGGCTGCCGCCAGGCTGTGTTCTCCGAGGATCCCGCGCCCGCGAGCACAGATGAAATCTTGCACCTTGCACAGCCACAGTTGAGGAGAAACAGATGAAACTGACTTTAGTAAAGCGGTATCTAACTCAGGATAGCCAAACATCACAACGTGTGACCAACAGAAAATGCCATTAAGAAGATATTTCACTTCTTTTTATATCAGATCTATAAAACCTGCTATGTATTTTATACTTAATGCACATCTTAAAATTTGGATGCTATATTTTCACTAAAAATACTTTACCTGTATTTAGATTTTGTAAAATTCAGTTTAAGAAGTATATTCATATACCTGAGTTGTTCTATGAATGCTTAAGAGTTTTCTAATGACTGAATTTAGGATCATTCTTAAAAGCTAGATTTATTAAAATTAAATAAAACTAAAATGCCTGCCCCTCATGTGCACCAGCCACACTTCAAGCGCCCCACATCTGGCAGGGCAGTGGTAGGGTGTAAGGCCTGGTTGGGTGCAGCAGGGCCACTGTGCCCTTGCCTGGGAGCAGAGGGACCCAGAGTTGAGGAGGATGCTGGTACCTCCTCCCAGCTCTAACCATGGTGTGGCCATGTGGCTAAGTGACCCTCCCACCACCACCCCATCCTGCCACTGACTGGCACTTAGGCCTGATGGCTCTCCTCCCACTGCCTGCAGCGTGTTCTGGCATCGGGGTTCTTTTGTCGGCCATGACGACACTGGGGGTGCTATGGCATTAGGTGTGGGCAGGGGGAGGGCTGGGCAGACCCTACATGAGCACAGCCGCCTGGATCCGTCCTGTCACAGGATCTGACCCCAGGGTGCAACCAGGAGTAATTTGAGATTGCTGTGCACCACCTCCCAACCTCACCACCAGCTCTCACTGGAAATCCACGCTGCGGACAAACAGCAAGCCCCCACCTCCACCCCAGGAAGCCGAGGGTGGCCCAACTCTCCACTGCCTGTACTCCATGTGGGGCACATCTCTGAGGCTCTCACTGGAAATCCACGCTGCGGACAAACAGCAAGCCCCCACCTCCACCCCAGGAAGCCAAGGGTGGCCCAACTCTCCACTGCCTGTACTCCATGTGGGGCACATCTCTGAGTCATTCGCTGTGTCTCCTAGGAGGTCTCAACCCAAGCATTTACATGTCAAAATACACGGTATTTTGTTATAAATCCTTTCTTGTCAATTTCTCATTCAAAGTGTGTCTAGGACATAGCGGATTTTAGGAACTGCACAGGGAAGAGGTCGAGTGCCCCCAATGGGCTGAGGCCACCCTCTCACTGTCCTGACCTCCTGGAGGAACCCTCCTCTGCCCCCCACCACACCCCCCAGAGCTTCAGGCCCCCGCAGGCCCTGTGCTTGCTCCCATACCCCCTTCCTCCTGTCTCTCCCAGAAGTACATTAGCTCATAAGTGTGATCCAGGCACACAGCAGTAAAATGCTTTTTATTGGAAAGGAGGATCGAGGGGAGAGGGAAGGGCAGGGTAGAAGGCCCACTGGGGACGTCGTCCCATATGGGCACACACGGGCAAGAGCTGGGCCTCACCTTCATCTTCTGCTGATGGTGGTAGATCTGCCAGGCGATCTGCACGTGCACTGCACACCACTTCCCTGGCTTCTGCGGCAGGACAGGCATGCTCAGTGCTGGGCCAGGCGCTTGTCCCACCCCTCTGCCCTCCCCAAACCCCAGCTGTCACCCTCCCTGACGTGCTGTCAGGTCTTCTTCCTGGGATACCCGCACACCACTCACCCTGACTGCTGAGCGGTATGGATCAGACACCTGCGGTTACAGAGGAAAGGCAATGTTACAACCAGGCTCTGCAGGAGCAGTCCTTCTGCTGCCCCACCAGCCTGCGTGGGGCCCTGGGGCAGGGGGTGGATCCGCTGACACCTACCCCAGGGACTTTCTGCAGGAGTGTGTGAACTGCACTGGCCCGGCCTGTGACCTCGATGGGGTTTGAATTCTGAAGGGAGAGAGAGAGAGCTTGCGGGTGAGCCTGAGACCCCAGTAGAGGGACCCAGGCAGCAGGAGACCCTTGGGGCTTCCTGATGCTGGTGCTCACCTGTGCCCTGCCTTGCCCTGCCCCGAGGACTTGGCATGCTGTCACCCTCAGTCCAGGGGGTTCAGCAAAGGCAGGAAGAGAGGCTCTCAACATCCTAGGGTACAAGATAGTCCTACTCAGGAGGGGGCAGAGCCAGCCCAGTGCTCAGTCCTGGGCCCCATGGGGCTGCCATGAGACTTGCCCCTCCTACCCAGCAACCTGGTTCTTCTGCCTCCTTCCCTCCAGGGCAGTGGTGGGTGCCATGTCATGTGGCCACACTTGCTGGGCAAGTCCCCTGGGCCACATCCCTGCCAGGAGCAGACTTGCTCAGGATTTGGCCAGCACAGATTCCCTCCCTACTTGACTCAGGGTCTCCATGTCCCAGGCTGTTGGCACTGAGGGCCCTGGGGGACCCTGCGTAACATCCACGAACAGGTACATGCATTCCTTCTTGAGGCACCAACTACCACAACTATGGGCATTTTGGGGGCTCAGAGACCCTCTGGCATCCAGAATAGTCTGATCTTTGGGAGCCCTACACACCCACCTATGATGTGGGGTGGCTTCTGGTGTGAGCTGGGGGCCCAGGTAAGCATTCTGGGGTTTTGCAGGGGTCAGGGCAGTTGTGGGCAGCAAGCAGGAGTTTGCTGGGATCCTTTGGGGTCAGGTGAGGTGCAGGGCTTACGTCTGTGTGCCCTCTGTGGCAGTGAAGTCATGACACAAGGCTAGAGATGGTGGGGAAGGGCTCAAAGGACTCCCCTCCCCTCGGCTGAGGTGGTTCACACCTCATGTTGTTGCAGGCCTCCTGCAATGTACATACCCTCTTGGGCTTCCTGCAGTGTGGATGGCCCTGTGCTTGCCACCTGGGCCTCCTGCAGTGTACATGGCCGCCTGGGCCTCCTGCAGTGTACATGGCCGCCTGGGCCTCCTGCAGTATGGATGACTCTGCGCTGCCCCAGATCTCCAGCAGTGTACATGCTTGCTTGGGCTTCCTACAGTGTGGATGGCTCTGTGCTAGCTGACTGGATCTTCCGCAGTGTGGACAGCCCTGTCCTACCCTAGGTTTCCTGCAGTGTGGATGGCTCGGTGCTGGCTGCTGTCTACAGCAGAGGCTCCTGGCAAGGGTTGGGGTGTTCTTCATGGAGGCTGAAGCCCCTCCTGGGAGTGGGCAACCAGTGTGCTCTCCTCTGCACGCTGCCCCACTGCTGCAGTGGTCACTCACACCACTGCCCAGATTACAACTCCTACAACCGAGTGGCAGTGGGGCCAGAGCTGCTCTCACAGGCAGAAGATTGGACAGGGGGCAATCACGCATTCCCTTGCCGCCCCACCCTGAACCCCACCCACCTGCTGTGCCCACCCCCCACCTGCCAAGAACATCTGCTACCTTGGGCTGAAAAGCACCCTGCAGGGACCCAAAGGGGCCAGAGTGTGGGAGCAGGGTGGGCAGTCCCGGGATGGCAGGAGGAAAGGACGAGAAGAGCTGCAAGAGAAGGAGAGGGGCTGCAGGGGCCGAGCCCACAGCCGAGCGGGGCCTCGAGTCCCACCTCGCCCCTCCCTCTGCACCCTGTAAGTGGCACGGATCACACAAGGGATGCCGGGAGAGGCCCCTGGCCAGGCCCATCCCCACCCCACCCACCGCAAGGCCTTCTGGGCCAGCTCTGTGGATGGGGGCAGTAGCAGCGATCCAGAAAACAGGGCTTGAGGTGGGGATGCTCACACTCACGTTGGAATGTCGGAAGTAGGAGCTGTCCAGCTTGGGAGCGTACTTGTCAAACTAGAAAGGAAGGAAGTGGGGGGTGAGGCCTCCCTGCACGTGCTGATGCCCGCCGCTGGGCCCAGTTCCCACTCACACAGGCCTGTTGGGTAGTGGCCAGGATAGCCGCTGTGCCTCCTGAGGCTGGCGGGCTGTGGCCAGCTGTGCCCAGGCTCCTGGTAGGGGCTGGCCCCAAGCAGCCTCTCCCCACTTTAATGGTACTCCAGCTGGAGGTGGAAACTTGGTCCAACTGGGCATCCTGTGTGTGCTGGGCTGAGGCCCCAGGAGAAGGGGGCTGGGGCTGGAGGAGAGGGGCGTGAAGCCCTGGCTGGTGGGCCAACCTATGGGACATACCCAGGCTGCTGATGAACTGGACAGCTTCAAAACAATATCTGTGTGGGAGCCGAGGGAAACCAGCCCCGCACAGCAGATGTCCATGAGACAAGGGCTTGGGCCAGGGAACACAGGAGGGTACACACCCCAGTCCCTGTGGCCCTCTCAGTCCTGTCTGGGCCTCCAGACCTGGCATCCTGCTATAAACTGAGACACCGAGTACCAGTGTGGGTGCAGCTGGCCCCAGGGGGGTATCCCATACATGTGGACATGGGGCAACTGCCAGGATAGGGACCTCATGGCATGACTCAAAGAGGAACCAGAGAGCCGGCCGGGGGACAGCCCCCACTGTCCGGCAAGCACAGGCTTCAGGGCCAAGTGGGGGGCTGGACAGACAGACAGACATAGACAGAGATGCTGCCAGCCCCACTGCCTCCTTGGTGTTGACCTATGTGCATGCGGGAGTGTGTCTGTGTGTGCCTGCTGCGTGCCCCCCGTGCCCGCCCCCCCGCCCGGCCAGCACGCGGGCCTACGCACCGGCGGGGG